AAAGAAAGAAAGAAAGAAAGAAAGAAAGAATAGTGAATAAGAAATAGGAAGGAAGGAAGGAAGGAAGGAAGGAAGGAAGGAAGGAAGGAAGGAAGGAAGGAAGAAGCAGCTTCCAATCTTGACAGCAGTTATAAATGCATTTATATTTTACCCTCTCTCTCTAAGGTTATATATAATTTCCTTCTTTCCATAAGCTACACTTTCTAATCCTAAAACCCCTAAATCACAAGTTCATTTTTCTCTATTTTCAGCAAAAAGTCCATAAGGGTTTCCAGTCACTGATAAAAGATGCAGCTGTTTTAATGAGTTTTAGAGAAGTGCTACATGAACACCCTTGCATGTTCCAAAGCATCTTTCTGCCTTTGAATCCAAAGTGTTGACACTAAAATTTAGTTTATATGTTTACAAGGTCCTCACTTGGCTCATCATACTGTACATGTTCATAGTTGCAGGTAGAATGTTAAAGTATTTATTGCATGGGTAGATTTCAGTTCTGGCTATTAAACTTTATGCAGGAACAAATGTAAGGCATTTCCAAATAGGAAACAAATATTTTTCAAATTATATAAATTCTACATCTTAAGTAGAGATAACAGAAGAAGACATATGTAGATTTATACAGCAATATTCACGTGACATTTGAAGCACTCTCCTATCGTACAGCATCAGCCACAATCATTTTAAATCTTTTTGGCTTTCCTAAAACATCCTCAATCTATGCAAATACAGGTAGTCCTCACTTAGCAGCCGTTCATTTAATGATGGTTCAAAGTTACGATGGCCTCGGAAAAAGTGCTTCACAATCTGTACTTGCACTTATGACCATTGCAAACTGTCACACCACCCCCTGCAGTCCCATGATTGCAATTTGCGACCTTTTTTATGATGGCCATTAAGTGAATCACTGTGGTCGTTAAGTGAATTCTGGCAAAAAATGTCCATTGGAGAAGCTGGATTCATTTAACAACTGTGGTGATTCGTTTAATGAAGGTGGTGACTCATTTAACAACCATCATAAAAATGGTCGTAAAATCAGGTCCAGTCACGTGGTGACTCACTTAACAGCCACCTTGCTTAGCATCCAATTTTCCGGTCCCTATTGTGGTTGTTAAGTGAGGACTACCTGTACTGCAAAATATCAGATTTTAGGGCTGGAGGAAATAAACAAACCCTGTCCTAAATCCACTTATGAGGTCTATTTGATAAATCAATTCCACAGTCTATAACTTTTCATTTTCTCCTACTTGCTATTCCTTTAAAACACATGTGGGGAAGATGGCATTGGACTCTAGCTCCTATAATCTCTAACCAGTCTGCATACGAATATCCCACATGAAAAATGGGTCCCTTTGGTTTTCATTTTTCAAAATGATATTGTCTACTCATTGTTCTCAGACGGGCTATTTATCTCAGATGGAACCTCTCCCCCCAGCACAAAATGAATCAGCAAGCACTTTTAAGCAAAAGAACACATGCACACATTCACACACACACACACACACACACACACACATACACATGAAGTGAACCACAGTAGTCCCTTGCACTGATAAATGGGTCCCTTTGGTTTTCATTTTTCAAAATGATATTGTCTACTCATTGTTCTCAGACGGTCTATTTATCTCAGATTGAACCTCTCCCCCCAGCACAAAATGAATCAGCAAGCACTTTTAAGCAAAAGAACACATGCACACATTCACACACACACACACACACACACACACACATACACATGAAGTGAACCACAGTAGTCCCTTGCACTGATCATCTGAGT